GGGCTCAGCAATTTTCTCTCCAGAGAACTACTGTGTGCTCTCGTGCAGGGGGCTAGAGGGCAAAGACTGCAGTTACTACACACAGAGAGCATCAGCTCTGCACACCCTGAAGTCATAGCTTCTTCAACAAGATGTTAATTTTATAAGAGTCAAATGAAGAGCTCCCAAGGTCCCAATGAGGAGTGGAAGGAGGGAGAACATGAGCAAGGATGTCAGGACCACGAGGGGTGCACCCACCCACTGAGACAGTGGGGCTGATCTATTGGGAGCTCACCAAGGCCAGCTGGACTGTGACTGAAAAAGCATGGGATAAAACCGGACTCTCTGATCATGGCGAACAATGAGGGCTGATGAGAAGCCAAGGACAATGGCACGGGGTTTTGATCCTACTTCACGTTCTGGCTTGGTGGGAGCCTAGCCAGTTTGGATGTTCACCTTCCTAGACATGGACGGAGGGGGGAGGACCTAGGACTTTCCACAGGGCAGGGAACCCTGACTGCTCTTTGGACTGGAGAGGGAGGGGGAGAGGAGAGGGAGTTAGGAGAGAAGGGTGGGAGGAGGGGGAGGGAAATGGGAGGCTGGGAGGAGGCGGAAACTTTTTTTTTCCTTTTCTCAATAAAAAAAAAATTAAAAAATTTAAAAAAAAACCTGAAATATCCAAACTTGAAATTCTTAATCATTAAGTAGTAACTTTCTATTCCTTGCTGCCCAAAACCTGATAGCCTCTATTTCACTTCCCTATGAACTTGCCCTATGGTCCATAAATGGAATCATATAATATTTATCTTTTTGTAGTTCCTTTAATTTCTTGATGATAATCTACACTTAGCTTTTTTAGGAACCATCAAATTGGTTTTATGTTGGCTACAACATTGTACATTCTCACCAACAATGTATAAAGATTCGATTTCGAGCTGGGAATGTAATTCAGCAGCAGAATACTTAACTCAAAAGTGCAAGGACCAAGGTTCAACACCCAAATTCACCAAAGAATGGGGGCATCGATTTCCACACATCTTCACCGATGTTTGTTCTTTCCCATCTTTTTGGATAACAGCCAACTGAAAAGGTGTAAAATGGTATCTCACTGTGACATTCACTGCTTTTCACTAGCTGCCACTGAATACTGAATAAGGTTGACTGCTATTGGACATCTATATTAAAGCACAAGAGGTTTTGCCCAATTTTTAAAATGGACTATCTTTCTAGTGAATTGTAGAAATACTTTATACATTCTGAAACCATCTTTTGTTAGTATTAGGTATGTGTGTGTATGTATATATGTATGTATTACAAATACTTTAGTATATGCCTCGTCATTTTGTTTTCTTACAGGCTTTCTTTGTGTAGTATTAGCTGTCCTGGAACTCACTTGGTAGACCAGGCTGGCCTTGAACTCACAGAGATCCACCTGCCTCTGCCTCCAAGTGCTGGGATTAAAGGTGTGTGCCACCACTGCCTGGCCTTCATTTTGTCTTTTGATCTAGTGTTTAATTTTAAGTCTAAATGGATAAAGTATTTCACTTAAATAGGATGTTATTATATCTTAGATAAGAAATGATGCTTAGTGAGGGAGGTGGGGCAGCTATGGGTAACGATGGGTGTGAATAACAAAGGACAATGATATTACCTATGAAAACATAATAAACCCCGTTATGTTGCACTACTAAAAGAGGCTGACTTATTTTAAGTTTGCCTAGGTCACAAGGAAACTAATCTCTTCTAGATACTTAGATATTGAGATCTATATTCCATGTTGAAATATCTTTCTGGACTGGTCTGAGCTGTAGGTCAAGGTTCATTTTATTTCAATCAATAGACAAATAGTTGTTCCCTCCTCGCAAACAATGTGCTTTAAGTTGATTTTTTTTTACATTTATAAACATTTTATAAAGAAACTAGAGCCAGAATAGGCTTTTATTTTTTCACACAAAATAGAGTTCAATAAAAAGAACAAAATGATCAAACACACACACAAAAGATAAAAACAATAAAAAGTTATCATATCCAGTCTTTATAGCCAACATGTTTAAGAATTAAATGAGAACATCAATTTCAACAAAGTACAGAAATATAAAAACAAATATATTAATTCAAAATTGCAACACAAAACACAATGACAGCAGGTTTGATGAAGAAAAGAAAATTAGCAAACTAGAAGGCAAGTTAAAAGCAAATCTTTAAGCAGGTATTTAAAGAGGGAAAAAACGTTTTAAGAACTGGAAAGATCCTCCTGGAACACCTGAAGTCTGGGCTAAAAACACTAGATTTACTCAGACACACAAAAACATACTTAAGAGCACCTGCTGCTCTTAGAGGGGACTGGAGTTCAGTTCCTAGCACCAATATCAGATGGCTCACACTCCCTGAGTAATTCCACTTCCAGGAGACCCATAGGCACCTGTGCACATGCACATACATACAGACAGAGAGACAAAAAAAAGACATACTCTCTCTCTCTCTCTCTTCTCTCTCTCTCTCTCTCTCTCTCTCTCTCTCTCTCTCTCTCTCTCTCTCTCAAATGAGGGGCTGCAGAGATGGCACAGCAGTTAAGAGCACTGGCTGTTCTTCCACTCACAAGTATCTATAATGAGATCTGAAGCCCTCTTCTAGTGTACAGGCATACATGTAGACAAAATACCCAAATACTTAAATAATTAAATCTTAAAAAAACAATTAGGTGACAAAGCAGAACCAGAATCAAGAACTCTGCACCACCGCACAACTGCATTCTCCACCCGAGCACCTACCCACTGGAAACAGGGTCACTGCTCCACAAGAACTGCAACCAAACCCCAGAATCACTCTCCTCTTCACCCCACAACAAGCCAGTTGGTCCCTGAGTCCTTCCCATGCAATCTTACGAGTTCCTCATCATTGTCCTACCCTTCCCCACAATGCCCTTCCACTGGGTACTTTTCCATAGGGACTTCTGCTGAAACACCCTTCCTGCTTCATCGCTCTAGCTTCTCTGTCCTCTTTCCAATGGCGATCAGAAAGACTTTCCTCACACACAGATTTTATCAAACCACTTCTGTTAAGGAAGCCATCAGTGGTTTCCCATAACTCCTCTCAGAACAGACCAAGTCAAGAGAGCTATGAATCTTCATCTTCTCAACAAGTTACATAAAAGAAACCAAAGATAGGCTGTCTCCTCTGGCCCAGACATATGATCTGTGTTGTTTCTCTGCAACTCTACAAAATCAGTATATGACCCTTCCACAGAAACTGTCTTTTCTAGCTGGCCCTCAAAGCCCTAGTAATTTTACATGTGCGGGTGGATGTCCATGTATACAGCGTGCATGCCTGATAACCGTAGAGGCCAGAAAGGTTCTAGGAATCAAACTCTGGTCCTCTGGGAAAGTACTAACTGCTCTTAACCACTGAACCATCTTCCCAGGCCCTCTCCAGTTATCCGTCTTTGCTGGTTCTGGGAGGCAGCATCTTTACCGTGTAGATCTGTACCACAGTACGCTTACACAGCAATCCTCTATTATGTTTGATGAAAGGAGTTACGTCACATTTGTTTAGCCCCCTGCAAAGACTGTTTCATAGTGTTCAATATATCGTTAATAATTAAGGCAGAGGTCCTGGATGGTATAGACAGGCCCAAGCATCAGATCAGCCAACATTATTTCCCAGATCACACTGATCAGCATCCTGCCCACAAGCCCAAAGCAACAGTACCAGCAGCCTTCAACACCTTTTAGATGTGCATCCTTCTACTATGACGGCAGATGGGAAAGGGCTCAGAACAGCATCCTTCGTTGTTGTTGCTGTAGTTGGTTGGTTTGTTTGTTCTGAGATAAGGAGCCTTGACAATGTTGACCAGTCTGGTCTTGAATTCAGAGATCCATCTGTCTCTGCCTCTTGAATGCTGGGACTGCGGGAAGACAGGTGCCACTGTGCCTGATTCGGTTCTCTTGAATGCCGGGACTGAGGGAAGACAGGCGCCACTGTGCCTGATTCGGTTATCTATCTACCTTGTTGGTTGGTCGGTTGCTTGGTTTGGTTTGGTTTTGGTTTTTCAGCACAGTATTTATGTATTCGTTTAGTTTTTCAACACAGGGTTTCCCTATGTAGCCCTGGCTGTCCTGGAACTCACGCTAGAGACCAGGCTGATCGAACTCAGAGATTGGCATGCCTCTGCCTCCCGAGTGCTGGGATTAGCGCGATTCTGTTTTGTTTCTTTTTAAGATGGAAAGTTCTAGAAAGCACTGAACCTACCCAAACCTATGTGCTCTTTTCCACTCTGCTCTCTGTCCACACACTGGGATTTCATGATATCTCCCTCCACGAGAAAGCAAGGGTTCGGTGACCTCTCAGTCCAATAACTAAGCACAATGCTTGCTACAGGGGAGGCCATTGCTATAAAGAAAATACTAACGCTTGTTTAGTGCGTTAGTGTCCTGAAGATGTAACAGGCACACTCTCATTAAATCTTCACTACGTTTCCACTAAGGAGGCACCTTCAACATCGTCTCCATTAAACAGAAAGGGAAAACGCAGCACAAGCAATCCTACAAAAACCCAACAGGACCTGACAGCCTGGCGTACTTCTGTTCCCACGTCTTATTTCATCGCAGCACTGAAAACATGCACCCGATTTCCCATTTTCAAGGCGAGAAATAGAAAGGTCGGAGGCAATGTGGAGACGTCAAGAAGCCAGCCCGGATCTGCAGGCTCCTGGGCATCTCCCTTTAACCCAGTGGCAGAAGCCAGAACACGCCTCCCCAGGCCACCGCCCGCCCTCAGGGCCCCGCCTGAGGAGCCAAACCAACAGCTTCCTCACTGCCAGCCTGGGGACCAGCGCTGCCACCGCCTGCCCCCTCCGAGCCCGGGCAAACCATCGTCCCGAGCAGGCCTAGGCGCGCGCCAGAGAGCCGCAACCCGCGCGTGGGCCGAGCCCGTCTCGCCCGCCGCCCCGCCTCGCCAGCCGCCCAGCCCAGAACCCCGCCACGGATCCTCTTCCTCCCAGGCAGCAGCCCCTGCGCGGTTACCGGTTCCGCGGCTCCTTGAAGAGCGCAGTGAGGGCGCGCAGGGCCTCCAGGTCCTGGATGGGTGCTGGCACCATGATGCCCGACAGCCGGGAGGGTGGCATCCTGGGCGCCGCCATCTTGCCACTCGCTCTTAGCCGAGCCTGACAAGGCGGAGAGAAGAACGAGAGATGGGGGAGACAGGCGACAAGGGCAGGAGACGGGGACGCGATCCGCCCGGCGCTGGCTTCCGCAGCCCGCGTCACCCAGATCCCGTGCCGCTGCAAGGCAGAGAGCGCGAGACTAGCTAGCCGGCTCGCCTCAGGCGGAGAGGACAACGCAGCGCAGCAGGAGGGGGGAGGGGGCGAGGGCGGAAGTCCCGCCTGAGGGGAGGGGGTCCAGCGGAAGTCCTGCTTCTGCGTGGGGAAGGAGGGAGGGGGTCTTCGGGTTCTCAGTGGGGCGGCCGGGGTAAACACGCCCCGCAGAGGACAGACTACTGAGCCGAAGGGGGCGGGGAAGGGTGGGCGGTAGGGTGTCTTGTCAGGAACAGACGTTCGCCCTGAGGGAGGGCCTCCGTAGGTGAGGCCCGGATGCAGAGGTTTCCCTCTGGGCAAGGGATACCAGGCATAAGCGGTGCCCCCAGGATAATGGATGCTGTCCCTGGAGGGGTCTTGGGAAGGAGGCTCCTTGGGAAGGGCGGAGAGGGGATACAGGCCAGAGGCGTAGGCCGGGAGAGGGGACCTGGGAAGAGGCGTCCCCCTCAGATGATATGTTGCTGGGCTACCTAGTCCCATTGCAAGAGAACCTGGAATAAAGACCCCCTCCAAGGAAGGGATACTAGCTTGAAGCGCTCCATGGAGGGAGACTTGCAACGGAGGTTCCCCCGTTGGGAAACCTAGAGCCTGTGGAAGACGACCTTGGACAGAGGAGAAAACTGAACAAAACTGTTCCCTTGGGAAAGAACCAGGAAGGAAGTTCTTCCCCCAGGAGAGGAGGCTGGGAAAAACTGTCTCCATGGAGAGGCATATTCGTTTCTTGTTGCAGCCACAGGACACCTGACAAAGAGCGGTTTTAAAAAGGATAGGTTTATTCTGGCTCACAAATTGAGGTTACAGGCCAACATGGTGGGGACTCAAGACACAAATGCTGGGGGCAGCTGGTCATATCGCATCCATAGCCGGAAAGCAGACACAGATGGACAAATGCTGGTGCTCACTGGCTTCCTCCTTTTTATACAGGTCATGGAATTGTACCACCCACATTTGATTCACACAGTTAACCTAATCTATATAATCCTTCACAAACATGCGCAGAGGCTTGTCAAACTGACCATTAATCTTAACCATCACAATAGGGGATCTGTGTAGAGGAGGCTTGTCAGAAATATCCCCATACTGGGACTGATATTAAGAGTACTTTCTAGAGCTGGTGGGGGCACACACTTTTAATGCCATCAGTTGGGAGGCAGAGGCAGGCAGACATCTGTGAGTTCGAAGCCAGCCTGGTCTACAAAGTGAGTTTCTGGACATCTAGTGCTACACAGAAAAATCCTGTCTCTACACACACACACACACACACACACACACACACACACAAAACCAAATTATCCCTATAAGAGGTGGGGCAGAAGGCAAAGAGGTACAAAGAGGCCTCACTAGGAAAAGATACTCTTGGGCCTTGTGGGGGTGGGTCCCAGGCAAAAGGTCCCCCTGAGAGGGCAGAAGACCTGAATCCTCACATTTAAGTATTTAATCTGTGCTCCTCCCTCTGGTGCAGCAACCTGTCACCAGTTGCCAAGTCTCAAACCCTGAAAGCTGGCTTCATTGTGTTTTCTTATCATCTATCTACTGATAATACTTGTCACTTGTCAAGGACTTAGAATAGCTCATCAAGGTTTTAAAACACTGAGGGACAGCAAAATAGCTCACCCTGCCAAGCCTGATGACCCTGGGACCACGTGGTAGAAGAGGACCAACTCCAACACATTGTCCTTTGACCCTCATCCCTATTCACACACACACACACACACACACACACGAATGAAAAAACACACAATTAGAAGTTGTCTCAGTCCTTGTTCTATTGCTATGAAGACACATCATGGCCAAAGAAACACTTATAAAAGAAGTCATTTAATCAGGAGTTTGCTTACAGTTTCAGAGGGTCAGTCTATGACCATCATAGCAGGAAGCATGGAAGCAGATAGGCTTGGTGCTGGAGAAGTAGCTGAGAGCTCTCTCCTGATCCAGAAGCAGGCAAAAGGTGTGGGGGAGGGGGACTCGAACGTGTACCTGGGTCTGGCATGGGTGACACACTTCCTAATCCTTCTAATCATTTCAAATAGTGCCACTCCCTAGTGACTAAGCATTCAAATACAAAAGCCTTCAGGGACCATTCTTATCCAAACCACTGCAGAAGTAAAAAAAAAAAAAAAAAAAGCTCAAATTGCCAGTAGTAAGGCAACAATGTGTTTTTTATTTATTTATTTATTTATTTATTAAAGATTTCTGTCTCTTCCCCGCCACCGCCTCCCATTTCCCTCCCCCTCCCCCAATCAAGTCCCCCTCCCTCGTCAGCCCAAAGAGCAATCAGGGTTCCCTGCCCTGTGGGAAGTCCAAGGACCATCTAGTTCAATGTGTTTTTAAAGGAAATGAATGTATTTCATCAGAATTAGCAGATGTTGATAACCCATATATTTTCTATTCACCACACTTTACTGATTGTACTCTAATATACAAGAATTGTTGTCAAACCTTGAGCTGGGAACTAGACATACAAAGATTGGCAAAAGATGTTCCAACCCTGAAGGAACTCATACTAAAGGGAGAGAAACAAAGAAGCAAGGGTACTGGAGCAAATTGCTGTGATTGACAGCTCTCCCAATTACTAATGTCACTTAAAATGTGTAACTATAACAGCACTAAGGGTCAAGTGTCATCAGTCTTTTCCATTTCACTAACTCCACATTCATCCATCCCACAACTATCACTATGTGACTTACTCAGTGCCAGATATGAGGTCACCCGGCAAGTGGGCTCAGGACAGTTCAGAGTGTTATTGCCAGGCTAGCAAGGCAAACCTGCCAATTTTTGTCTTGAGGAGCTATTGATAGTAAAATACACATATGAAGGTCTTCGCCCTTTCCTGTCTTCTATTGTGAAACAAAAACTGCATTGAATTTTCCAGAAAAAATATCCCCCTTTCTTAATGTTACTATGCTGCAATGAAACACGATGACCAAAAGCTAGTTGGAAAAGGCTTATTTGGTTTACACTCTCAGATCACTGCTCATCACTGAAGGAAGTAGGGGCAGGAAGGAACTCAAGCAGGGCAGGAACCTAGAGACAGGAGCTGATGCAGAGGCCATGGAGGAGTTCTGCTAACTGGCTTGCTCCCCACGGCTTGCTCAGCCTGCTTTCTTATAGATCTCAGGACCGGTTGCCAGCGATGGTTCCATCCACAAAGATCTACCCCCACTGCCCTCCCATCAGCCACTAATTAAGAAAATGCCCCACATGCTTGCCTACAACCCAATCTTATAAAGCATTTCTCAATTGATCCTCCTCTGATGACTCCAGCTTGTGTCAGGTTGACATAAAACTATCCAACACTCCTCTAATCCCATTTTCTGGAATACTACCTTGGACTCCTTATTTATCTCTTAACTACATTCTAAATAAAAAAAATTAATATTTCACTCTGTTCAGAACTACTGAGGAATTTCCATTACGCTCAGAAATTTAATTTAAATTCCCTAAATGGTTAACTAGCTTCCTTTCCTCAATCCACTCTGACCCCATCTTCTTTTTTTTAATTTTATTGATTTTTATTGAGCTCTACATTTTTCTCTGCTACCCTCCCTTCCTCTCCCCTCCCCTTCAACCCTCTCCCAAGGTCCCCATGTTCCCAATTTACTCAGGAGATCTTGTCTTTTTCTACTTCCCATGTAGATTAGATCCATGTATGTCTCTCTTAGGGTACTCGTTGTCTAGGTTCTCTGGGATTGTGATTTGTGGGCTGGTTTTCTTTGCTTTATGTTTAAAAACCACCTCTGAGTGAGTACATGTGATAATTGCCTTTCTGTGTCTGGGTTACCTCACTTCAAAATGATGTTTTCTAGCCCCATCCATTTTCCTGCAAAATTCAAGCTGTCATTTTTTTCTGCTGTGTAGTACTCCATTGTGTAAATGTACCACATTTTTCTTATCCATTCTTCAATCAAGGGGCATTTAGGTTGTTTCCAGGTTCTGGCTATGACAAACAAAGCTGCTATGAACATAGTTGAGCACATGTCCTTGTGGCACGATTGAGCATCCTTTGGATATATACCCAAAAGTGGTATTACTGATGACCCCATTTTCTAAGTTCCTCCTCCTCTGGCCTCAGGAAAGTTTCCCTCTACCACAGAACTTTGCACATGTTGTGCCTTTTGCTTTAGATCCCTTCCCACAGATAGCAGTGTGATATGCTTCCTTCAACTGCTCAAATATCTTCTTTCCCTCTACCCCACCCACATGAGCATTATCTTCACTTTCTTTTTTTTAAGGTTTATTTTTTCCTGAATGTATGTGTGTGTGAGCCTCCATGCACACAATATATATGCAAGAGCCTGAGGAGATCAGAAGAGAGCACCAGATACCCTGGAACTGGAGTTACAGGGGTTTGTGAGCCACCATGTAGGTGCTGGGAACAGAACCCAGTCCTTTGAAAGAACAGCACACATTCTTAAACACTGAGCCATTTCTCCAGTCCCCAAAATAGACTGTTACTTTCTGTGCAGCTGTGTTACTGGTATTTGAACCTAGGTAGGGCCTTGTTCTTGCTCGGTGAGCGCTCTACCACTAAGCTACATGCCCAGCCCTGCCTCTGGTTTGCTTGAAGAGCATCTGGCACCCATGTTGTCAAAGCTAGATTTAAACTACTATGCTTGAGTGGCCCACCTCTGCCTCCCCAGTAGGTAGGTTTTCAGGGACTGCCAAGACACCTAACTCAAGTGACTAAATGAACTTCCTAGTCAGTTTGCTTAGGCCTGCATACTTCACCCAACCCCAAGCCCCAGAAATCTTCTCTATACACCCATTCTAGTTTGCTTTCTGTTGCTGTGATAAACACCACGACCAAAGGTAACTTGAGGAGGAAAGGGTTCATTTAGCTTCCAGGTTAATGTTCACCATCAGGGAAGCCTGAGGCAAGAACCAGAGCCAAGACCACAGAGGGACGCTGCTTACTGGCTTCCTTTTCGTGCCTTCCTCACCTTGCTTTCTTACACAACTTAGGTTCACCTGCTCAGAGACGGGCATCACCCACAGTGGCCAGGGCCCTCCCACATCAATCATTGATCAAGAAAATGCGCTGTAGACTTCCTGTCAGGCCAGTCCAATGGAGGCAATTCCTCAGTTAAGGTTCCCTCTTCCTGGGTAGCCCTAGCTGGTGTCTATTTAACCAAAAAC